TATATAGGTGTAGTAGTACCTCTTCGGGCTCTTGGATACCTTTTTCTTGCTACGTGTGCGTGTTCTTTAGATCCTCAGATGGCTCTAGCACTTTCGTGACCACGGGCTGAGAGTTTTTGCTAGATTTTGGCATTTAGCAACTGGCATACGGTTTAATGTGAAGTCAACAACAACAACAACAACAAACAATGTCGCATTAAAGAGTCATCGGAGCTGGGAACGGAGCTCATTCGCGGGTGTAGTCACATAAGAAAACTATTAAAAATATCTCAGGCAGGAACAGCAGGAGGGGGTCCGACCCCCGCCCTCCGATGTGACCACGGTTGGGTCGTCTCGCTGGTAGAAGTGGGGGATACGGGCCAGAGGGGCAGACGACAGAGTCCAATGATGGGAGAGAATAAAAAAAGCTCTCGGCGCGTATGACAGAACTGAACAGGAAAAAAATAAACAAGTTGCGTTTCACACAGACAAGTCAGATTCCTGGCCGGAAAAATGACATAGTGGCATCCGGTCGGGGGCCTCCAACCGTTAGTTTCTGTCCTGGGGACAAACCGTACGTGTTGTGTGTGTCCTGATCTCAGTCTCTTTTCTGGCGTTTCTTCGTGGCAATTCACCAATCGCCTGCTCACAGCAAAAGCAGCAGCAGCAGCAGTAAGTAGTAGTTCAACCCACCTCCTCTCCCTCTCTTTCTCGTGTATTTTTCAGCGCTCATAGCACTAGAATGCCGTTTACTCCACCGTAGTTACACAGAAGAAGAGCCCCGCTCTACCTTCCCCTCCTGCGATAATTTGCCTGCGAGGTCGACTGTACTTTCGACCAGTCAGTGGGGGGGGGGAAACCGGAGAAAATGATGAAATGATAAGGGAGGGGTGGTTCGGTTGTTCGCGCACGGGGGAAACGAATGAGACATACAACAACGGACGCGTTCTCACAAGCTGACACAAACATTAGCGCGAAACTCACAGGAGGGGCCCATCGGGCAAGAAGGGACACCTCTTCCAACCCACACGAAAATCTGTTGTTGCAATCTCGAGAAACATCGGGAGTGATCCCAGAGTGAAGAGTATTTTGGATTTGGGAGGGGTACATACCCCACATAAATATCAATATTTGCATTTTTTTAGAGGGGGAGGGTGGGCATTGTACGCACGCGTCGTGCCCCTGGGTGCCCCTGGGTGCCCCCGAGAAAAGCGTGCGTGCCACGCAACGTGCAGCGTGCCACGACACAGGTGGCCAGTGGGCACGGTTGTACAGGGGCGTTGTGTAACCTCCGGCCAACCAGGGGTTACAGTTGGCGCCCGCAGTTAAGAAATATTTTGTTCAGCAATTGAGGTTCACTTTTTCACGAAAAATAAGAAAATAGGGTTAATTAAGAAACATAGCTTAATCTAGGTCACACAATAAGAAATGTCTAAAAAAGATAGGAAGGGAGCGGGGGGCGCAAAAGGGTGACAGCCCCCAATGTTCGCCTCACGGAGCTTGCATCATAATGACGGGGTAGTTTTCGTTGTTGGGCACGTCAGCGTGCGGGTGAGGCATCATGCGGTGTTCATGCATTTGTTTAGTTTCAGCCCTCACTCATGAGGGGGGTACAGGACCTTGTAGCGATAGCGAGACGTTGCCGCTGGATTAATTTCGCTTCTAGGGAGTGGCCTTACGTGCAGCCGTCGGTAGTGAGAATCGGGGTTGAGTACGGGGGTCGAGGAAAGCAGTGCAAATCATTTGTATATATATATATATATATATGGAACGTTGTGTAGTATGCAAGCAGAGAAATAATAAGAAATTGCCAATTGAAGAAATTCAGCAGGATTTGGCTGCACGAAAAAATAAGAAACTTGAAATAAGAAACTGAACGACATACGCTGAGTTTATAGCCCACAATAAGAATTCGAGGCTGGACCTGAAATAAGCGTTTCTTAACTGCTGGCGCCAACTGTATTACATGGGATAACGTGGGGGGGTTACAGGCCGAGCGAGCATAACGTACCAGGTTATGAAAGCGGTCGTGCGCGGATTGGTGTGAATGAAGGAGGAGAAAAGAAAAAACTATGTGTGAGCCTGTTTGCGGCCTACGCCACTTATTTATCGGGTGAGACTGTTTTGGTGATGTATTAACTTCACGGGAGGTAGACGACCGTCCTTCACACGGACGAAAGAGGGAGTGCTCAAAGAGCGGCTCCCACAGCAAGGAGGGGCCCCGTGAATCATCGCGGTGCCCCCTATCAAACGGTTATCTTACCAGTCTGCGTGACACAAAATCATCCAGCACATGTATCCAACAGCAATGTTCGCAGACTCACGAACACCCTCCCTGGTTCTTCACGCAAGTGACTAACCATCAATTGGGCAAGAACGCCCCAGGATACATCAGAAAATACCAACATGGTAACATATGGAGGGGAAACCCGGCGTCCGGGCAAAACCCCTCAAGGAAAAACCCTTCCACCACAAAAAACCGTCGCTATCACAGCGGCTTACAACGGCCGCACTTACCAAAAAATCCAAGGCAAGTGCTAAAAACTGCTACATCTACTCCGGCAAATTCATCAGCTTGCGCCGGTGGTACTGCAGA